ATTGTTGAGTTTTTATTTGTTGTTTTTTCGGAAGTGATCGTTGATTGTTCGACTGGTTTTGTTTGTGACGTGCTTTTGAGAGTTATACTGTTAGATGTATTATTTTGTGATTTTTGGAGAGAGGTTGTATTGGAGGTCGATGGAGAGGTTTCTTCGAAAGAGTTGTATGGGATGTTATTTCTTGCAGTAGAAGAGTAAGATTCACTTTGTTGAACTCTTTCTTTGTACATTTTGTAGGCAGTTTTGTAGTCAACTTTTTTGGTTACTCTTATTGTTTGTATTTCTTTTGTTTCAGAAATGCTGGACATTTTTTGTCTGTTGATGGGTGATTGTGTTCGTAAATTTTTCACTTTTGCAGTTTACGCAACATGGAGCAATTTCACATGGAATTGAATTGTCTGTATGATTTGTGTTACCACAGTTGTAACAAATTTTTGAGTTTTTACAATATTTACTCAAATGTCCGAATAGCTGGCAATTGTTACATTTCAAAGGCGAAGGGATGTAGTCTCTTACTTGTTTAATTTCATAGCCAATGTGGACTTCATTTGGATGTTCAAGGGTTGAGAAAGTGAATATAATTAAGCCAGTTTCGACTAAAATTTCACCTTGTTTTTTAAGAATTTTTTTAACTTCGCAAACGTTTTGGGATTTCATTTCCAAGAGAATTATATCTTCACTTATTCCACGGAGGGAGTTGTCATACACAATGCCTTTTGATGTATTAAGAGTGTTATGTTCACTAACTTCCACTTTGATATCGCGAGTAAAAGATGTTAGTTTTATTAACTTGCTTGCTTGAATATAGTTCTTCGTCTTCAAAAGTAGAGTGCCATTTAAGAGTTTCTTGCAAGATAAAATTTCTCCACATACACAATCTATAATTTTCTTTATTAGGAAGGGGGACACATTTTTAAATGTTTCAGTTTCATGAATGCGTTTTATTATTAGATATTTCGGGCCAATTGTTGTATTTTTTAACGTTTTGTTATGGTCCATGCGAAACATCACATCATTGTTGGTTGTCATTTTTATATATTTATTCTCACTCTCTGTAAGAGGGGAGATTTCACTGAAACTTCTCTTGTATAAAGTATTTTTTTGTTGTCTGTTTGTAATAAACTTTTGGTTTATATTATGATGAATTGTTTTGATGAATTTATTTTGAATTTAAGTTTATGGTTTTAAATGTGCACAAGTTGTTTTTTCGTAGTGACTTAAGGCTGTGTATATTTTGTAACACTTTATGTCAAATACGGAATATTTTGTAGCTTAGCTGAAGACTGCGATCGAATCAACGATCCGAACGCATAGATTGTCTATTTGCAACTCACCCCCATATTTAAAAGAATTGCATCTAATTTAATATTAGGGATACTTATTGAGCAGAAAATCTCACTACATATGTAATAGTACGCTACATTTTTCGATGCTGTGGGGGAGTTGGGCAAGTTTTTAAATCTAATCAGCCGAAATTTGGCATTTGGATGTTTAATTTGGTAGAATGAATCCTACTAAAAATGGTCAATATTGGTCCACTTTTTGAGGTAGCTTTCATACAACGGTACCATTAATGTATATCCATTCCCATCGTAGTAGCTGTAATATGTCACGTTTTTACGGAAATTTTTCTATTTAGGTTAAAGTTGTGATAATGCTCCTACATACAGGTTGCGCCCCATTTTCGTTATTATAAAGACTTTGGCTGAATTTTCCTCTACAGTTTGACATAACGGATTCCTGAGCCGAATTCGAATGAAAAACTTATTCCCAGAAATTATGCACTATAGCTTAAAGTTTTAAAAATACGCCACAAATATTTCCTGTTTAATTATCGGTATGTTTAAAACCTAAGTCCCTGTAATTTTTAATATTATTTTTTCAGAGCACGGACAATCTACATCCTCATAATGCTATATACATCGGTAGTAGACATATTAAGGTATTTGTATTTTGTAGTCTGATCTTCAATTGTTATAATAAATGTTCTTGACCGATTTTTTTTAATTTTGCTGTTCTTTAATAGTTGTTTTTAGTGATAGAATTTTGGAAAGAAAATAACATTGTAAATTAGTTTTCTCTATGATAAACATTTTTGGTATCGGATATATTGGAGGTGTTGTGTTTATAAATTCAAAAACATTGACCAACGATTAGGCATATAACCACCATATAATGGTAACACCTGATTTGAAATTTCCCGTGGCATAGCAACATTTTAGGTACGTTAAGGAACAACGTGGCCCTATATAACTATTATTATTCTTTTCAAGAAAAATAATCTAGGTCATGGATCATACAATCAGAAATCTATTCCGAATGTCTTCTGATTTGCATCCTTGCGTTTGTTCCAAAATGCAATTTACGGTTAACGTGTACATACAATGATAGCGTGTACATTCAACGATATACTTCTCAGTTATTTTTTGTATTCTCACATAAAATAGTTTTAATACAATATCAATCCAATTGAAAAAAATAAATAATAAAGTAATTGGAAAAATTTTCAATAATTGACAAATGTAGAATTAAAGGCCAATTTTTGCCCAAAATGTCTCAAAATAACATCTGTGGCGTGGTGCAACCGAAATAGCTCGATAATAAATTCGTGGAAATGCAAATATGCTTTATAATTTTTTTTTGCAAATTTTTCGCGGTTTTCAACGAACAGCAATTAATTTTTATATATATAGATAGAAGATATAGATTTTCATATTCAATAGTTTTTTCATGGCAATGACAATCCAATTAATTGTAGAAAATTAACATATTTGGAGAATTTTCTATAATTGACAATTACTTCAAGATATACGCTGCCCATTTTCGCATAAAATATGTCCAAATAGAACTACGAAGATATGGAACCATAAAGGTTCGACATAAAATCTGTGGAAATGCTAATATCTTTCAAAACATATTTTGCAACATTTTCGCGGATTTTCTCAAAATGTTCTTTCATTAAAACCTTTCCACTTCAATTACATGCTACTAACAGAAATTTTAAGTCAAATCTGTCCTGCCGTTTCTGTAAAATAATTTTTGCAAGATTTTCGCGGATTTTTCTCAAAATTTTCTTTCATAAAAACCTTCCCACTGAAATTACCGACAAATGAAAGAAATTTTGAGTCAAATCGGTCCAGCCGTTCTCAATTGATGAGTTAGTATACATTTTTTTGGCTCCCTTTTTTATATATAGACTAGCAGACCCGGCAAACGCTGTTTTGCCTTATCAGAATTGCATCAATATAGGGTTTGTAAAAATTAGCGAATTCATGGAAAATATGTTACAGAAACTATTTTCCATTAAATTTATTAAATTTTCGCAATAAAAGAAACAGTAAGGAAAGTTCAAAAGTCGGACGGGGCTGACTATATGATATCCTTCGCCACTATGGGTATATATAGGAGGTGATGTAAATGTGGTAAACCCATTTGTTTTTAGATTGCCAAATTTTTATTTTTTATCCGATTAAATTTAAATTTTACACTTAACATGCTATATGTGTTGTCTTTCCATGTATCAATTTGAAAATATTATTCTAACAGTTTAAGAGATATTTGAAAAAATATTTGAAATTCCATTAAAAGTGATTTAAAAAAAGTGCAGGTAATGTGGTATACCACATGATGTTAATGTGGTATAGTATAATTTTCACTACCAATTGATATCTTATATAATTTATTGTTTTTATTATATAATAATATCTACATATGACAATATTTAATTTTTGTATGGAGAAGTTGTTAAAAGTCATAGCCTTTGTTTTTTATCCTTGTGACTCATGGTAGACTCCCGAAGAGTACAAATGTTTCAAATAGTAATGATATTTTGTCTGATGCTGGCTTTTTTTCATGCAGACTCAAGGTATACCACATTACCTGCACTTGTGTTTACTGAAGAAATGTCTAGTTTTTTCCTAAATTGGTGATTATGTGGTGCAATCGCGCATTTTATTTGATTTTTAGTTCACACTAATTATTTTGATGCTTTAATAATAAAGATTAAAAAAATATTTTTAAACTTCAACCGAAAAAAGTCAATTTCATGAAAAAAATAATTTTTGCTACTGATTTTCAACGTGAGTTAAATAAATTAAACAGATCATTGCTATCTTATTTTTTTGAGAACAGCAAACTATAGAACATTTTTCAGTTATTCTAAAATTTTCAGTTTACAAAAAAATGACTATACCACATTACCAACCTACACTGCGTATCATAACTATAGACGCACCCTTAATTCAATTGGTATGTTAGTTGAGAAATAAAATGGACCCATTAAGTTATTGTTCACAAAAAATAAGTACTAAAAATCAAGTAATATGGTCAATTACACCACATATTCACCAATTTAGGAAAACAATTAGACATTTCTTGATTCCTTGAGTCGGCATGAAAAAACGCCAGCACAAGGCAAAATTCTAACAACTTATCCATACAAAAATTAAATATTGCTATTCATTGTGCTAAGTCACATCCATTAAAAACAAAAAATTAAATAAGATATCGATTGGAAGTGAAAATTATACAATACCACATTGCCTGAACTTTTTTTAAAACCGCTTTTAATGGAATTTCAAATATATTCTCAAATATTTCTTAAATTGTTAGTATAATATTATTTTCATATTGATTCATTTACTTTATTCTACCACTTTATTCTACCACAACATATCGATATTGATCCACTTTTTCGGATAGCCCATATAGCGGTACCTCGCATTATTCGTTATTTGGGGATTCTTAAACCGGAGGGAATATAATTTAGTATTAAAACATTCATTGGATAGCAAACTTTCCTATCAAACATACATTTTTTCTCTGGTTTTCATTCGTTTAAGATTTACATATATTTCAAAATAAATATAAACCTATTTAATTAGAAAGAATTAAGAGTATAATAGCGTAGGACAAGTTTAGTTAACATCTTCAAATAAAATCCAACTTAGTTTTTTTCTCGTAATTTTTTTCACCATTTCAAATTAATTGTTTTGTATGTATCATAATTTACTTTCCGTGGTATACACTCGTCCCGGTACTCTATGCTTAGCCAAAAAAGGTAATATACAGGCAGCCACCTCATTTGGATTATTTAGATGACAATGATGCTTGAGTCCCGGCAAAACGTGGAATACAAAATTGGGATTATTTTGTTCGTGCCATTCCTTGATTGTCTTGGTCACCGCAGATTCTTCGTCGATGTGACTGGAATCGCCTCCTTTTATTACCAACCATTTGATTCCATTCAATCGCTTTGCCATTTCAATGCAAATTCCAGGTTCTGTATTCATTTCTTGCAAAAGTTTTATGGAATTGTCGCGGCAGAAGTAATACATCTGATGTTCATTACTCCATGTGATATTCCTTTCCAGAATATATTTGGTTTTGTCGAAATCAATGGATTTCTCTGAAGCTTCATATAAAATCGTTTGCAATTGTTCAAATGTGTATAGAGGTGGTGTCTTATGCTCGCTCGAGAGCTTTCGTTCGGCATCCATAAAGAATTTATCTGTTGAAAAACGCATGTAATACAGCTGTGCATTTATTGGAAAGTAACGTGTATGCAAAATGTCAATGCTGATTAACATGTCCACCATTTGGGGAAACAGCGAGGAGAAATGAAATGAAATAGCTGCACCCATGGAATGGCCCAGCAAAGAGATTTTTGACCACTTAAAGGATAGCATAATTTCTCTTATGGCGCGAACATAGTCTATCGTGTGATAAATTATGCCAGGTGGATGGTGACTCGATTTTCCATGGCCGGGAAAGTCAATGGCCAATATAGGTGTATAACGACTTAGAATGGGTGCCAAAAGAGCAAAAGTGCCAGCATTATCTTGCCAACCGTGCAGAGCTAATAGGGGACGCTCGCTGCGACTACCATACCAACAGCCAGCAATGTTACCCGCCTTAAGAGGTATTTGGATTTCTTCGTACTAAAATTAATTAGTTTTAATTACAATACAAATATATTCCATTTACGATATTTACCATCACTAGTTAGAATATTTTTAATATTAACTATTTCAAAGTAGAATGAAAATGATTGTTGATCGTAAACATTCTCCGGTCTCTTAGTGTTTCCATTGGCATTTTCTTATCTATGGACTAATGTACATTCTGATAGGTGGTGAGAATCTACCGAGTTCATTCGGATTGGAATTAGTGATAAGGTAAACTAAAATACTAAATTTTTCTTATCAATCACTGAATTTGCTGCATAAAGTATTTTATGTTTATTAAGCCACAATGGACGAATAAATTCAATGTCAATGATTGTTTTTTTTTTTTGATATGGCAATGCTCTTGCCAAATCAAAAAAAAAAAAAAAACAAACAGTCACCCACTGTGTAATAATAAATAAATATTCTTTCATATGCATTTTATTGGCTTCAAGTGTCCACTTCAACGATAATTTGTCCTTTAAGTACTTTTTTATACCCTTCACCACACTGTGGTATAGGGCATTATGTCTTTGTGCATATGTTTGTAAAAGGCCAAAGGAAAAGAGATAGACACATGGTTCCTTTTGAGAATATGCATAGAATCACTTTCTGAGTCGATTTATGCATGTCCGTCTGTCCGTCCATGTATTTGTGTGAACAAAGTACAGGTCGCATTTATGATACGATTTGGATGAAATTTGGCATAGGTCACTTATTTCGCCCAAGGACGAACCTTATTGAAATTGTGAAAAATCGGTTCAGATTTAGATATAGCTCCCATATATATTTTCGTCCGAATTATTGTAAATGGTGCACCAAAGTCCCTGTATATCTCTCGATTTGCACGAAATTTGGCACAGCGTAATGAATTAGGTCTACAATGATGTGTGTTAAGTTTCCTGAAAATCGGTTCAGATTTAGATATAGCTCCCATATATATTTTCGTCCGACTTAATGCAAATGGTGCACCAAAGTCCCTATATATCTTTCGATTTGCACGAAATTTGACACAGCGTAAGGAATTATGCCTAAAATGATGTGTGTTAAGTTTCCTGAAAATCGGTTTAGATTTAGATATAGCTCCCATATGTATCTTAGTCCGATTTAATGTAAATGATGCACGTGTCCCTATATACCTTTCGATTTGCACGAAATTTGGCACAGCGTACTGAACCAGGTCTAGAATGATGTGTGTGAAGTTTCATGAAAATCGGGTCAGATTTAGATATAGCTGCAGCTTTATTGTAAATGGTGCACCAAAGTCCCTATACATTTCTCGATTTGCACGAAATTTGGCACAGCGTAATGAATTAGGTATAGAATGATGTGTGTTAAGTTACCTGAAAATCGGTTCAGATTTAGATATAGCTCCCATATATATTTTCATCCGATTTAATGTAAATGGTGCACCAAAGTTCCTATATATCATTCAATTTGCACGTAATTTGGCACAGCGTAATGAATTAGGTCTAGAATGATGTGTTAAGTTTCCTGAAAATCGGTTCAGATTTAGATATAGCTCCCATATATATTTTCGTCCGATTTAATGTAAATCGTCCACCAAAGTCCCTATATATCTTCTGATTTGCACGTTATGTGGCACAGCGTAATGAGTTAGGTCTAGAATGATGTGTATTAAGTTCCTGAAAATCGGTTCAGATTTATATATAGCTCCCATATATATTTTCGTCCGATTTAGTGTAAATGGTGCTCCAAAGTCCCTATATATGTTTTGCTTTGCAAGAAATTTGGCAAAGCGTAAGGAATTAGGCCTAAAATAATGTATGTTAAGTTTCCTAAAAATCGGTTCAAATTTAGATATAGCTACGATATATATTTTCGTCCGATTTAATGTAAATGGTGCGCCAAAGTCCCTATATATCTTTCGATTTGTACAAAATTTGGCACAGCGTACTGAATTAGGTCTAGAATGATGTGTGATAAGTTTCCTGAAATCTGTTCAAATTTAACTATTTTTCATTTGGTCAGATATAGAAAATGACCAAATGAAAAATTTAGTATCGGTTGCAGAATGACATGTTTATGGATTCAATTTCATCTTACTGGTCCTTTAAAAATGCGACGTCTGTTAGGATTCATCTGTTGAATATACCCAAAGTGGTGAAGGGTATCATATAGTCGGCCCCGTCCGACTTTACTACCTATACTGGTTTAAATTGGGGAAATGTTTCGGTACCACCACAATTTTAAAACTTTATGTATAACTGAGGACGCCCAATTTCCAATTTTTAATTAACATTCAATCAAATTTTGAACCAATTACAACGTTGTGTGCATTTGTTTCCTAGTTTTCACTTTATAGCAAATATTTTTTTAGAGTTCCATTATAATAGTATCCCTCATTACGGTAGAACAGATTGATATAAAAATCGGAAATTTAGCATTAAATATAAAAAATTATATGACCTTCTCCAATATTTTTGAAAATTAGTTCTTAAAAGTGTATCACTTGCGTGAGCGCAAATTTGGAACTTATCTATCAATTTTAAATACTATGGTATACTATGTTGTACTAGTGTCAACGTCATTTGACAGAAAATTGTAAACAAACAAATTATATTTATTTTGAAAATGAAATATTTCCGAATCCTCAAAATAAAATTCGAAAAACATGAATGAAAATTTATCAAATTTATATTTCCATCGCTTCCACATCTTTCCTATAATTGAGCCATTGCGACTTATATGTGTAACATATATGAAAATGCTGGGAATTGTGAGTTATTCAATGAAGAAAGATTTGCCTACCCAAACTTTCCCAATAGGCAGATTGAATACGGGAGCATATTTAATAATGAACAATTTCAAATTGTATGCGTTCCTAATTTTCCTGTTGGGTGATTTTTAAAAACATAATCTGTCTAATTCATATTGACACTAGTATTACGTTGGAATCAAATCAGCTGGGATTTGTTGTTACCTTTTATAATTGTACCATGTTTAAATACTATGAAAAACAAATTCCATAAAATTCTGTTTATGTCGATTGGCATATATTCAATAAATTAAACAAAATATATTTTCTAAAGCTGAACATTGCTCTCAAGATTTAACAATTGTCGCTACAACTTATATTTATAATTTTTAGGGACATGGGATTTCAAAATATCTATAAATATAAATGATTTAGCAATTTTTGTCACTGAAAAACTGTAGGCCTATTCTGTAACTTTTAACAACATTAGATGTTGTTTAATTTTTTTTGTTATTGTAAAAACAACGAAACAAACAAATGAAATTGTTGTAAAATGACAATATCGAATGTTGTTAAAAAGTTACAGAATACTGGGGCTGATATGCGTACATTTCGAAGGAAGATATTGTCATTTAAATTTTGAAAGCTGAATGCTGTCAAGGGCAGATTTATGAAAAAATTGAAAACATATGACTGCATGAGACTACCTTATATAATTATGCCATGATTTATTGAAAAAAGAAACTAAACATTAAGGAAATATGATTTTTTCAATAAGAATTTAAAATAACTGAACACATTTTATAATATTTCTAGATTGTTCCTCGATTTTGTTTAGCCCGATAAGAGATATGGACTCGACGTATTTGGGTAATGACATGTACAGACGAGCGTTGTTCGCTTTTCTTTCGTTGTTTGACCCTTAATTATGAAGTAATTACTTAGTTGAATTTAAACGATGTCCCACAAGCATTAAAGATGAACCACATAGTGGACGTCCAAAAACAGCAGCAACAACAACAGAAATTGTAGCCAAAGTGCATGATATGGTATTAAATGATCGACGTATAAAAGTGCGAGGAATTGGTAATATCATGGGCATCTCAAATGATCGAGTCCATTTAATTTTGCATGAAGAACTACAGATGAAAAAGCTCTCTGCAAGATGGGTACCGCCTTTATTAACAGTCGATCAAAAACGCAAAAAATGGACATTTATCAAGCTTGTTTGGATCGTTTTAAGCGTTTCCTAACTGTTGATGAGACATTAATCCACCACTATACTCCAGAGACAAACGAACAATCCAAACAATGGACTGAAGCTGGAGGATTTGCCTGAAAGGAGGCAAAAGCAATTCAATCGGCTGGTAAGGTTATGACAACGGTTTTTTGGGACTTCAAAGGTATTTTATTGATTGACTATTTGTAAAGCAATAAATTCAGAGTACTATTGTACTATTTTGAATCAATTAAATGTACACATTCGAACAGCACAAGAACTAATTTGTCATCAAGACAACACACCAGCGCACAAAAGTGTTTTAAAAATGGCTAAAATCAACGAATTATAGTACGAGTTGCTTGACCACCCCCTTATTCTCCTGATTCAGCCCCCAGTGACTTTTACTTGTTCAAAAAAAATCCTTGCTGTCAAGCGTTTTACCTCAAATGAAGATACCGTCACAGTTGTAAACCACTATTTGTAAGACCTTGAGGAAAACTGTTCTAATCAAGGGATAGAATTGATAGGAAAGCATTAAACTAAGTGTATTGCATTTTCAGGAGATTATATTGAAAAATAAAAATATTTTTGAAAAACTAATTATTATCTTTCACTGATAGCCTAAGAAGATTCCGAACCACCATCTAGCCGTACATGCTTAAATCGTTATAAAATTTTATGGAAAAAAATAATACATCACAATTTGTACGTAAGATCTCCTAGAAAAGTACCTCTACTGAATAAATGTATACAGTCAAATCCGTTTAATTGAAAATGCCAAAGTTGGTTTCAATTATCCGAGTTTTTCAAATAAAGCGAAGTCTGGTTAATTGAAAAGTCCTTCAATTAAGCGATCTGAAATTCAAATTTCTGGTCTAATGGCTGAATTCGATGACAGAAATACAATTTTGTAAAAATTAATTATTAAATTCATTATTCATTATTTTGGTCCGCATATCGGAAGCAGGGATGTTTATAATAATTCCACCATATATAGATTTTTCGAGAATTTAATATACTTACATACTTCTGACTATCCCTCAATGGTCCCTATCAAAATGTTTTTTTTTTTTTTTTCAGGGAAGCTTGTAAAAAACAGTATTGTAGTTAG